TCCCTTGTCCATGATGCTATCTCACCATTAATGTTTAGTTATTTGTGGTAATAATTTGGTCGCGTCGATTTAGTCCGCATCACCTGCCATTTCTCTACCTTCGAGATTCTAGATCAAAATGACATACAATCAATTCCGAAGCCTTGATACGAACACTTAGCTAGTGCCAGTGCGTGATTTAAATCACCGGGACGCGAGGACCCGCAGGGCCAGCATGGACAAGTCTTGGACCCTCTCGCCGTGCTTTTCACTTGTTATGAGTTCGTACGTACCCTACTCACTCACAGCACTAGATCTAAATCTAAGACAACAGGGTCTGAGTCAGTGATGTATTAATAGTGGTAAGACATTACAGCAATCGCATCACTCAATGTTTCCGAATTTTGGATACGCCACTTGATAACTATAACAGGTGTCAGTACTTGCCTTCACAGACACGCTCTCAGTGATGACGCTACATGGAGCCACTGAGACCGGCAAGTTCATGATAATCAAACCTTGCGCGATTTTAGTACCATTTGGTGTTCGTCGCCGTTCAACGTGCGTCCGACCTTGAGGACAGTGAGTGCTTAGGGCGGCCCTTTCCCGGCAACTGAGCTGTCCTGCCATGATGACCTGACTCTCGCCACTGCCAGTTAGGTACACGCAAGTTTCACCTCGGATCCTGATGCCGTAGGTGCACGCTATCCGTAGGCGCTACAAATACTGCATGTAGCATGCAGGGAGACCAACTCCCCCATGTCCGCGCAAGCCTATCGTCTTCCTAACTTCCTCGTTTTACTTCCCAAGAAACCTGGTGGGGAGATTAGTCCCCACTTTAAGGACGCTGATAATGGATACCACTCATGGGTCCATGATAAGATCGGCTGGCTCTTCGCCATTGTGGGTATCTGCTATTTGCGTCTTTTTTTGGCTCTCTCTGACCCCCGCCGCCAGGAGGTTTATAATGCCGAAATGCCTCTACTAGCAGCTTTAGCGTTTCCTCTTGCTTCCTGTCGGGAGTTGAGGGGAATTCTTGACTACATGACATCATCCTTTATGCTAGAGGAGTTGACGTACGCACTATTCATCATTCCATCTTACAGATGTGTTCAGGTACTTTGCATAGTGATCGCTGCTCAAGCGCAAAGGCTGTGGCTCGCTCACAGTTGTGGATCAAAACGCTGGCGCAATGCGACAAAGAAGAAAGCTCTCGACACCCATTCATCAGAACAATGCGCAGGTTAGTTAACAATCCCGAGCCATGGTCTTGTTGATCATCTTTGTCGTAGGGAACTAGTGCCTAATATGAAAGCTGCCGTTGACCCTTTTCACTGGCCACAGTTTATTGATTCGAACGCAATATTCGCCCAGAACACCGTTCAAGAAGCTCTTGACCGGGAAGCCCATCCGAATAAGAACGCAGTTCGTAACATCCAGTCGTACATGGTCATGCGTCGGGAGTCGATCGGTACTCGTCCGTGCTTTGTTCTGATGCGGTCTACTCGCCGTCTCTACATTCCTGACGATGTTTTGGCGAACCCAATCATAAGAGAGATGGAGAACGTAACGTTGGATATGGTCTTCATTGCCAACGTGCGTGATAATCTGCTAACTCTCCCCCACTGAAACCGAATTCATCCTGCGATTCATCCAGGACGTCTACTCTTTCAAGAAGGAATACGGCGATAATGGAGCATTGAACAACCTTCTGACGGTCATGCAAAAAGACCCGATGACTGCTCATCTGAACCTACAGGAAAGACTCGATCACGGCGAGAAATTGTTTACGGCAGCCCTTGACCGCTTCCACGCATACAGGAAACAGCTGCCTTCGTTTAGTCGGGATCTGGATCAACATGTCGCTGCATATGCAGAGGGACTGATCGACTGGGTAGTGGGGAACATTGAATGGAGTGCCGTGAACCACCGCTACAAAACGTTCTTGAATGATGCAGACAGGAAGAAGAATATCATGAAGTTGCAGTTGGACAGCCGCGGCCGCAAATTACAACGGCTTCTGCTCGTCGTCTTTGCCGCGCTGATCGTATCGGCACTTGCGTATCTCCTTCTGTAATTTTTGTACCATCAGGATTCGTCTCACCCCCTCACCAAATTTTATAGTCTTTATTGAACTTGTTACACCATCTAAATATTTACAAGGCCTACAATTGCTTCGCTTCCTCTCGGAACTGTATTAGAATTTGGCACCCAACTTCACCTTCCTCTCGTCCACTTCCCAGGTCTCGACAGGACCGTCGCATTTGAGCATCCAAATCTCCGCACCATCGAAGCCTGGTAGACTGACATCGCCACATTGTAGTGAGATGGACTGCGTGTCAACAGCCTCCCTAACAACACCTGTGTCTTTCAACGCCTGTGCTGTCCTATCGCGATGGCTTTTGTCTTCATCCGCGATGTAACACAACGACATGTGAGGGAACCTCGGAGCACTGGGTTCAAGTCCATGACGATGCAAGTTGGTAAATATCTGGTTCTGTAACTGGACGAGCTCTTGCGTGGGTTGGATATCGATGAACACCGAGCGGAAGTAGTGGTCACCGACGGCAAGGGACTGGAAATTGGCACGAATTGGCTGCTGGTTCTCTGGAACGGCATCGAAGAGCACTCCCGGGATCCCGGGATCCGACAGGGGGACGGTTGCAAGAGTTATGTGGGGTATGAAAGCGGGATAGGACCTCGGGGAGAGAGGATGATCTATCGATGGGCGTCTTGGGAGACAAGATTTGATTACATCCATCTGTCCTACCGCAGGCACGAGCCAGAGAGAAACGCCTGAAGAAAGGATGTCATCTATTCCATGCTGTTTCGGCCTTGGACCCTACCCATCTTTCGACTTGGCTTTGTGTCAATCGGGGGTGTGAAGTGCCAGGTCGCACGAACTCAACACGTCGGAAAGGTAAAGATGTGGACGGATGACAACAACAGTTAATTTACAGACGACGTAGTTTCCAAAGGGAATATCTTTTTATCGACTCAGACCCCAGAGTCCTTTGTCCACGAGACAACACCTTTTATCCGCCGATCACTCGGAGGACTCGTGCGGTCCCAAACTCACCCAACTACTTCCAACAGAGGTGCTCTCAAGGTCTCCGTCATTACTCTCCGCTTCCGCGTCGGAGGCCATCTCTTGTTCGTCGACATCGGGATGCGACTCGGGGATTACTGCAGCTTTTGAAATCGTAGAGATTTGTCCAATAGATCGTTGCAGAACTAATGGGGTCGTCCCAGTGCCTGGAGCAGTCTCTGAGTGAGAAGCAGGAGTCGTAGGTCTAACAGCACGATTGTTGGGAGGGTCAACCCGGGGAGGTGGAAGAGGTAAAAGGCGATTCCGAATGTTTATCAGGAGATGAGGGAGGGCCAGAAGGCTATCCAGGAGTACGGGGGGAAGGTATGACGCAATTGCGTACGTGCCAGCTAACGAAACCTGGGTTGAGTTGATGGGACGGCAAGCTAGTGGTGTAACTGACCTCCTGCTCCGATAGAATACCTATCACCTCGTATCCAGTCCTTGACCTGTTCATACAGGAGGCCGAAACCAATACCAAAAACGAATTTCCCGGAATACCTTGCTTTAGTTCCACCACTGGCGACGCCGACAACACTGTCGACAAAAGTAGACACGTCCGCTGGAACACGCGAACCGCGGGTTTCTCGCAGCGTACTGAATGCCGCCCCATAAGTGGCCTTCTCCGAAGGAGTCCATTCGTCCATGTTGACCCGGATACCAAGATCACTCGTCGATGAGCCAACTGTCCCTACATCAACAGTCACAATACGGATCGCGTTCATCCCTCGAGCGGCAGCAACTTCCCGGCGGAGAACATCGGCCGCACGGAGCGTGGCAGCAGCGCTCATGGCGCTCACACTCCCAAATGGGAGCCCCACACGCGCGTCAGCAGCTGGTAAACATAGGATGATTGATTTGTGACCACGAGCGCGCGAGGCGTCTGTGCGGAGCAGCGGCAATAAAGCCTGGATGGTTTGAAGTGGTGCAACGTGTGTAGAAAGGAGATGGGGAAGATAGGTGCTGCGCAAGGAGACTTGTTCGAATGGTGCTGGTGCACAATGGACAGAGGAAGTTGGCATGGTCAGCAACGATATCACAGAATGCACTAGGGGATGATAAGGCGTGGGTGCGTATGGGTCGCCCGCAGCCGTTATAGGAAATCGTCGAGACAGTGTAGATGCCAAAGATCGAAGGAAAATAGGGATTGTCCCGGGCTGGCATGAAATGGATCAGGCAGTCTCTTCCGGGGAGGGGCGCATGCCTCAGCGTACCTCGCTTGGGTCCAGGATGAGGGCGCGAATGTAGCCATGCCCCTTGCTTTCAATGTCATTGACAGCTTCCGGGGATGAAACGCTGGTGATGACAATATAGCCTTGTTTCTCAAATTCCATAATCAAAGGCAATCCCAAAGGATGGTCACCGCCCAGGATGACTTGACGACATATCAAGCTGGTGCCATAAGCGACAAGTAAGAGGACGTACCAACAGCCTGACGCTTCTCGGATTGCGGAGACGTTGCCTTGACTCGTCTCCCCTTGATAGACTTCATGCGGACGACACCGTATCCCACGAGTACGCCTGCTCCGAGAGCTGAGATGACCATGCCTGATGTTATCCAAGGGTGCTGAACAATGCAGTCTCCGGCTTTGTCGATCAGAGACTTTGGCGGCGGAGGTGGTGGAGGGGGTGGAGGAGGAGGTACCTCGAATGCCCCAAGCCCGGGAACATGTATATTCGGGAGAGAAGGCAGGCCAGGAGGACCGAAACGAGAAATGTCAATCCAAAGACGGTTCCAGGTTTCTTGGATGTTGGGAAGATCAGGTGAGGCAGCCGCCAGAGTACCCACGACGAGGCGTTCGACATAGTCGAAATATTGCTCTAGCTCATCGATTGTAGGGAGCATTGTTGTGGAGGTGATGGCCGCAGATATTCAACAGCCACTCCATATGGCTTGAGCACAGCATCATCTAATACAGACAAAAAGACAACACGACGCCAGCAGGATTCGAACCTGCGCACTCAAAGAGTAACAGATGAACTCCCTTCATGTTCTAATCTGTCGCCGTAACCACTTGGCTATAGCGCCTTATAAAGGGGGCGGACCATTGCATAAATGACCCCTATCAATGTGGTATCCTGCCCTAGCTCTTCGGTATCATAAATGATTTTTTGTGTCGACACAATGATCTACGAGGACATAAAAGGTAGCAGACAGCATCATGTCCACAACATCTATCTCTCTAGTTGCCACCCATCTCCTTGGCGAGCTGCTCGGCCTTTGCCTTGACGTCCTCGATCGTACCAGCCATGTAAAAGGCAGACTCGGGTAGTTGGTCATGGTTACCAGATAGAATTTCCTTGAAGGACCGGACAGTGTCCTTTAGGGAAACGAGTTTGCCCTCGTAACCGGTGAAGACTTGGGCGACTTGGAACGGTTGCGACATGAATCGCTGAATTTTACGTGCACGCTCAACCTGAATCCACATTGTCAACACGTTATGTCAAGGGTGGTATATTTGACAGACATACAGTCAATTTGTCCTCCTCCGACAACTCATCCATACCCAGGATAGCGATGATATCTTGCAGAGACTTGTAGTCTTGAAGGATCTTCTGGACAGCAGTAGCGACCTCGTAGTGTTCCTTGCCAACGATACGGGGATCGAGCATGCGTGACTTGGAATCTAGAGGATCCACGGCAGGGTAAATTCCGAGCTCAGCGATACCACGGGACAACACAGTCGTTGCATCCAAGTGGGCGAAAGTGGTTGCCGGGGCGGGATCAGTCAAGTCATCAGCAGGGACGTAGACAGCCTGCACAGAAGTAATAGAGCCCTTCTTCGTGGTTGTGATACGTTCTTGCCTAGAATCATGTCAATTACAAATACAATCACAAGGGGAAAATCACAAACATGCCACCCATATCAGTTGAAAGAGTTGGCTGGTAACCGACGGCTGAGGGAATACGACCAAGCAAGGCGGACACCTCGGAACCAGCCTGGGTGAAACGGAAGATGTTGTCGATAAAGAGGAGCACGTCCTGACCCTCTTCGTCACGGAAATATTCAGCAATGGTCAAACCGGTCAACGCAACACGGGCACGGGCACCAGGGGGTTCATTCATTTGACCGAAGACGAGGGCGACCTTGGAGTCACCCTCCAAGTTGATGACACCAGTTTCGATCATTTCGTGATAGAGATCGTTGCCCTCACGAGTCCGTTCACCAACACCTGACCGACAAGAGGTGATACTCAATACCACACCCCATTGAGGATGGTAGTATGTACTGACCGCAGAAGATAGAGAAACCACCATGGGCTTTAGCCACGTTGTTGATCAATTCCTGGATCAGCACGGTTTTGCCGACACCAGCACCACCGAAAAGACCAATCTTTCCACCACGTGCATAGGGAGCCAAAAGGTCGACAACCTTGATACCCGTTTCGAGGACTTCAGCGGTAGTTGATTGATCAACGAATGGAGGAGGGTCAGCATGAATGGGGCAAAGCTTGACACCCTTGATGGGTCCACGTTCATCAATGGGCTCTCCAATGACATTCATGATTCGGCCCAGAGTCGCAGTACCGACAGGGATTTGAATGGGGGCACCGGTGTCGACGACCTTTTGCCCACGAACAAGACCCTCTGTACCGTCCATAGCAATGGTACGGACGGAGTTCTCTCCGAGATGTGATGCAACTTCGAGAACAAGACGACCACCGTGGAAATCCTGGACCTCGAGGGCATTGAGGATAGGAGGGAGAGTATCCGTCTCGAACTGAACGTCAACGACGGCACCAATGACCGTCTTCACGGTGCCAGTGGTTCCCTTAGCTTCCGATGCATAATGACGCGCTGCATTCGCATGGAAGAAAAGGTTCGGAATGCAAAAACATATCGTTGAGTATTAAAAAGCGGAAAAGAAAGAGATACGGACATGGCTGGGAAGCAGACATGCGTGCAGGACGTGCGGTAGCATTTTGCTTCGACGAAGGAGAAGGGAAGGAGGAGCGAGCCAACAGCGGTGCGGTGGTTTGCAAGAACCGGGTAGAGTTCTTTGCGCTGTTGACGGCTCTCCTGGAGACGCGGGTGACGCCGCGAGCGGTAAGCATTGTGGTGAACGACGAAGACGACGACAGAGGTGGGGGAGTTTGAGTAGAAGAAATACTCGTCCCGACGCGCCAAAGTAAAATTCGAATTCAGTTCCAAGCTCCGACCCCGACTTCAGCCGTATCGCTTATGTAAATGACCCTGACAGTTGTGTGGGTAATAACCAGACTTTCAAAGTTTGATTCAAAGGACGGTAACAGAACATCATTTCATCCAAAATTCAATCCAGGTCTTTGAGATTTAGGAAGCTGGTAAAAAGGTATAGTTAATTAGATATAATTCCTTAAATAATAAATATTATTAATAAGGCGCGTCTCGTGGGAAAAACACGAACGCGTCGCGGTGGTACAAACGCGTTTAAGCAGTGACACTGACGGCGATGACGAACGACTCAAACGGCTTCCTGCCAACTGGATTGCTCGGCCTTGAACCCTCCGCTTCCTCGTCTGCGTTCCTTTCAAATGGTCTCTTGGGTTCAACGCACGCCGCTTCCGTTTCGGACGCGCCCCACAGCCAAAGTGTGCCTCCTTCGAGCAAATCGCGGTCAGAGGACGATGGTAGGCCGTGCCGTGGTCTCGTGTTCGTCACGTCTCATTATGTCTGCAAAATACTATAGCTTCTTCTATGGAACCACTTTCATCATCGCAGGGTAAGTAGTACTTCAACTTCCACGGAGTGGTCATTTCTCATGGAAAGCAGATGATGCTTTCCTTTCAGTCTCAGATATTCTGGGTCTCAAACCCGAGTCTTCAAGATACCCCTCCTCCAGGTTATTGACACATCCTCGTGCACCTCTTCGCGCGACAACCTTTGATGGAAAGCTCCTCTTTATCCCGCGCAAACCCCGGATGATGACTTTGCAAAAGGTGCGGAATCGCATTTCATGTCTGTCATTACTAACCTTACCATTAGTCGTCTTCGACATCGCCAATGGCAAAACTACTCGATGTACCTATCCATAGGCTAATGGATGAGCTTTCGGCATCTGCGCCTTCAAACACTACTATTCCGTATGCATAGAGATTATTTCCGTATGCCAGACGTGTTTCTCACCAGGGGCAAAAAGGAAACCGGATGCATCACATCGCCCGCTTGATGATATGTTATGGGTTGATCAATATCGCCCTCAGCGCTTTACGGAGCTCTTGGGTAATGAAAGGGTTGCCAGGGATGTGATGGCTTGGGTAAAACAATGGGATTGGTGTGTTTTCGGCAAAACAAGAAACAAGAAACGACCGAGAGAAGACGACGAGAACTACGATCCCGAGGACGAATACCATCGGCCAAGGGAAAAGGCGAGTGGCTAATAACTTCTCATTCACATCTGTAAACCTGCCGCGTCGTTAGTTGCTTCTGATATCCGGTCCTCCTGGCCTCGGCAAGACCACACTAGCCCACGTCATTGCTGCACAGGCGGGCTACGAAGTAGTGGAAATCAACGCTAGGTGATTCTGTTGGGCATGGTGATCTTCATTTTGACCAAACGCGCCACAGTGACACGCGGTCGGCACAGTCAATTGAGGACCGGGTCCGACCTATACTTGAGTCAGGTTCTGCAATTGGCAGCACGAAACCTGTCTTGCTTATTATTGATGAAATTGATGGGGCGACTGGTGGTGGTGACAATGTATGTCGTTAGCTTGACCCTCTTCGAGTACTCAGATCTTCTTTACAGTCAAATAGTTTCGTCCAGAACCTCGTTTCACTCACCCTGGATAGACCAAAGAAAAAACGTGGGCGAGTTTTCTTACCTAGCTCATACTTTGACTTAAAATAAACAGGAAAGGCCGGAGCACAGAAAGACAAACGACCTTTGTTACGGCCCATCATTTGCATCTGTAATGATCAGAACGCACGCTCACTAGCTAAACTCCGTCCGCACGCAAAGCAGATTCGATACACACGACCGGCTGATATTCACATAGTCAAACGGCTACGGGAAATCTGCCAGCTCGAAGGGCTGGACACTGATACAAGAGCACTCAGCACCTTGGTCAATGTTGCGAAAGGCGACTTAAGAGGTTGTCTGAACACCCTACAGGTTCGTCACCCCACTTTGGATCGATCATGTTATTGCTCAGTACAGAACAGTTTATAAAATCGCGCAATGAAGGCGTCACAGAGGAATTAATCCGTCGTGCCACGGTTGGTATGAAGGAGGGAGATGTTACTGCAACGGCAGTCCTGAATGAGATATTTGCTCCCTTGTCACGTAAGCGAGTCCGGGAGCTGGCAATAGGCGATATGGAGGAGGCGCGATATGTAAACCGCCTCAGTCGAGCTGTAGAAGCACTCAACAACTTCCCCAACATTGCTAATGGTATGTGTTCTTCAACGCAGAATTCTTAGTATTCAATATTTTTAGGATGCTTTGCCCATTATACGAGCTGCCACCAACACGAGGCAAACATGACCCGGTACGAGAAGGCAAGTCAGTGGTTAAGAACATTCGATATAATTTCATCGGCTATGTACGCCGACGGTGATTTTGGCCTGCAAGCATACCTCCCATACTTGCTCGTTTCATTCCACCCGCTGTGCCGAGAGCGTGCAGGCAAACGGGTTGAAAGGGACTCTACGGATTGGGATGCAAGTACCTTCACATATTGTGCCTTGCGACCACTGATGCCCGTTGCACATAGAATTTGCTGATCACACGCACCAACGAGGACATTCTAAAATCACTCTCTGATGGGATTTGCGCTTCTGGGAAGAATACAGGGGCTAACCGACACCTGATCATGGGCCAGGTTCTCCAGCTAGAGTTTGCTCCATACATTAATCGAATAATATCACCCACTTTGCGACCCGTAAGTACACTTGTTTCTTCGTCCACAGAAGTTGAGCTTGCATTGCCTTGTTATAGGTCAACAGCCAAGTTATTAAACCCGGAGAACGTGCACTCCTCACCCGTCTCGTTGAGATCATGGTTTCCCTTGAACTTCGATTCGTCCAAGAAAGAGCAGAGGATGGAC